TTTGATGTTTCATTATGTACACTGGACAGCTAGACAGATTTAATATTTATTTCTCCATAAAACAAGTGTGACTGTCTTGGAGAAATTATAAACATCAACTTTATAATGAAACAAAATTTATTTCAATGAAACCAAAGAAAAAAAAATTGAAATAAAATTTCAATACTTAAAAAAATGATTGGGTAGGGGTGATTTTGATGGGTTATTCGGAGTACATCAAACAAATCATTTTTAGCATACTGAGCCAAAGGCTCAAGTGAACTTTTCTGATCGAAATTTGTCTGTCGCAATTGTTTTCGTAATTTTTTCACATTTCAATATTCTCAAGAACCACTGGGCCAATTTCAACCAAACTTGCTATAAAATATCCTTGGGTAAAGGGGATTCAAGTTTGTTCAAATAAAGGGCCATATCTTCTTCTAAAGGGAAATAATTACAAATAAATGAAAAATTTATGGCATCATTTAAAAATCTTCTTTTCTGGAACCACATGGCAATGAAAGATTCCAACTTATTTGGAAGCATCCTCAGGTAGTGTAAATTCAAATTTGTTTAAATCATGACCCCCAGTGTAGGACGGGGCCATAATGGATGATCAATTTTACATAGGAATACATAGGAAAAAATCTTTTAATTCTTCTTCACTAGAACCACTGTATCAGGAAAGATGACACTTATGTTGAAACATCCTCAACTAGTATAAATTCAAGTTTGTTCAAATCATGACCTCCTGGGTAAGATGGGGCCACAATGAACGATCAAAGTACATAGGAAAAATCTTAGAAATTCTTCTTTTCAAGAACAATGAAGCCATGATTGGTCATATTTATATACACGGCCGATGAAGTAATGTAGATATTATTTAAATCATGACCCCCCCCCCCCAGGAGAATAGAGGGGCCATAAAAGGGGATCATAGTTATACAAAGGAATAAAAAGGATTTTCTTCTTAAGAACAGCAATGCTTATATGTGTCATATTAATTCAAAAGCATCCTTAGAAAGTGTAGTATTCCCCCCCCCCCCCCAACCACTTTTATATTTGAACTTTTCAATACTGAACTGATTTATATTTTTTCCTACCCAAAGTGCTTAGGTGAGCAATGTGGCCCCTGGGACACTTGTTTATTGTTGGTCTCATAGGTGAAATCAGAATGCAGTAGTAACTGTACATAATAAATTCTTTCAGAGAGAAGAAAACTGACATTAAAGGAGAACCAGTAAGATGTATGATGAATCAAGATGTGATCGTGTGGTAAGTGGTAATTAATTCAATCATAAATAGGCATGTATAACAATTGCATGAAAAGAAAAGAACTTGAGTTTAATTGGAATGTTGAAATACCAATTGCAAACTACAAGAGGTTATGTAAAATTATGGCTTGGAGTCTTCTTTTTCACTCCTCTATAAAATTTTCTGTCTGGATAATATCTCGCATAATATACACCATGCAGTGAGGAATTTAGTTCATTCGAGCTAAAAACTCATGTGAACTTTTCTAATCACCTTTTCTTTTGTGTTTTGTCCATCAAACTGTCTATCCATCTGTGAGCTTTTCACATCTGTAACTTCTTCCCAAGAACCACTAATTTTAACCAAGATTGACACAAAGTAAGGATATTCTAAATTGTACAGAGGAAGCCCCCCTCCCCCTCCCCCCCCCCCCCTTCACCCCAAGAGGAAATGATCAACTCTCTAAAATATTGTTGATATGATCATTGTTGAGCAACTTATAATTTTGTAACCTGTAGACTTCATCTTAAGAATAATGAATATTTGTTTAAGAGTCCTTTTGCCATGGTTCAAAGTTCAATTCAATCATTGAAAATATTTTGAGATATTTGAGGATTCAAGATATCAGGAGTAATTAAAATGCTTAAAGAATACTTTCAAATTACTTCAACATACATGTATCTATGGTATTCTAGATGTCTGTGTTCGAGATGCCAAAGTTCAACTGTATGGCTATGATAAAGTAGTAAATATTATAACTGTATAACTTACTAAAACTTTTTAACATTGAAACATGTTAAATGAAACAATACAAGAATGAAAAATAAGGACATGCACATGCATTTACTGATTTCTGGCTGGTCAGTATTTTAATGACTGTAATTTCTAAAATATTCAGTGAAACACATTGAAGCTTTAAATGTAGGTATATGTTTATTAAATGGGAAGTCTTGAACAAACATTACAACATGCATGTATGTAAATTGGGGCTAAAATTGGTTAATGGCTATCGCCTTAATTTTCAGTGACATAAAACAAGATTTAGAATGCAGGTAAATAATACTAGTATGTGTCTGTTCATATGATATAGCATATAGAACTTGTACTGAATGTTGATTAACTAAATCTTGAATGGCTGTTATGTTGGTCATCTTTGATGAAATTTAGATTATTTTTATGTAAACTGAGTGTACATGCAATTTGAAATTATTCATAAGGTATTAAACATGATTAAAGCATGTGTATGCAATGCAACATATGATGAATTCATATTGACTTATATGGATATAACTTTACATATATATGTATTGATTTTTTAGGTTCCTGTTCTGTGGATGCCATGAGATGATCTGTCTGTCCATCTGATATCACTTGTCCTGAGTATATTTTCTCTCCTCATAGCCCAATCTCACTCAAATTTAACTCATAGAGTGCCTGTGGATGGAGGGTAAAAAGTGACCTTGGACCAATTATCTAGGTCAAAGGTCAGTATCAAAATACACTATATATCTTTATCTAAAGTCCTTGTCCAGAGCATAATTTTTCTCCCTTGGTATGATCTGGATTGTGTGCCATGGGATGAAGGGTGTGTAGTGATCTTTAACCAATTTTCTAGGTCTAATGTTAATTAATAAGAAAAAAAGATTTGTAATATCCTTGTCCAGAGCACATTTCTCTCCGCTCAACTAAAAGCAGTGTTCTACATGCATGAGATGGTCATATTCTCAATCATACCTGTTTTGATATTAATCTGGCTTAAAACCTTACTATGTAATGTTCATTATTCGGATTTCATTAAATTTAAAGACTGAAACTAATCACTGATATTGGTACATTAAAGTACATTAAGTGATCATGTCAGATTTCTAAATAATATTCAAGCATACAATTCTTACATCAAATAATAATTTTGTATGAAAATATATTGCAGATAGCAGATGATGTGATGAAAATAATGAAGCTGATGTTGAAAGAAGTATAGAGTATTTAATGAAGTTTATGAATGGACTTATATAATTAGATGTGAAAGACTACTTCATTGTTTACCAAGATATATGATTTTATATATTTTGATATCATTTTCAAATAATGTTTTTGCACATCAAATGAATTATTAAACATATGATTTGATAATGCTTTTTCCTTTTTATACATTTTCTTGATAGATTTTGAAAAGAAAACACAGTTTACCAAGGAAATTAATAATATATATTTTGATTTAAACCTGCTGTTCTCTTTTCATATTCTAGACAAGAAATATTTACCATGGAAAATACAGGGATCCTTGAGCTTCCAGTTGCTTGTCAATCATTTTTCGTAATTGAAATGCTCCACCTACCCTGTAGTTTCCATGGTATGGGGAAACTATTACACCACAATTACACATTGCTTCCCGTCTCAGATAAATAAGGGAATCTTGAAGTGTTCCTGTAATTTCCTTTTATGAGACACCAGATTATTCCACCAAGTTTCCATCACACGGAAACCGCTACGCTCCGATTCCATGTAGTTTCCTGAGTCATGGAAACTTGAGGAATCACAAGGTTTCCTCTAGTTTCCGTTCATGGGAAATCTGAGGATTCCATCAAGTTTCCATTCCATGGAAACCACTACGCTCCGATTCCACATAGTTTCCTAATTATGGAAACCAGTGGAATCTTCAGGTTTCCCATTATGGGAAACTACATGGAGGCTCGGGAAACTTCAGGTTTCCTGAGGTTTCCGTGGTTCGGGATACCTAATGGAATCGGAGCGTAGTAGTTTCCGTGCCACGGAAACTTGACGGAATAACCTGGCATCCGCTGCGGAAACCACTAGGAAACATGATGTAATCTTGAGGTTTCCATGTGGTTTCCATATAGTTTCCCATGATGGGAAACTGCTTTTTTCACCCAGTGATTCCAATGAGAATTCTTATTTAAATCTATGATGTCGTTATCAAAGTATACATCAACACCAGAGACCACAAACACCGCTCGATTTGCAAGGCTTATACTAGGTCCCTGTACAGATGTGTTATGTGATATTCTTAAAAAGGAAATTCCTCCGTCTGATCTATCTAAAGAAGTGAAACAATGGACTGACGATCTTAAGAAAAACAAAAAACGAAACCCTCTTAATGATACACAACTCGGTATCATTTTCCCCTCACCAAAAAATCCGTAAAGGGGAGACTAGTAGACCTGGATATTTCTATCTTGTATATCATTCCTCAGAATGTAAGCAAACTTTCTCCACCTCTCTCACCCGACGTGTGCTCATTGTCATGACGGAGTAAACGGAAAATCCGCAAACAATTTAGTATGATAAATAGCCTAACAATTTGTATAAAAAAACCTCAGTCAACATGCGAATTGATAATAGATTGTATTTCATTAAAAAGTTCATTTTATCGACCAAAAAATTAGCGGAAAATTGACTTCCCAATAGAATTCGAATTATAGGGATTAAATTTTGAACATTTTTATATAGAGGATTTAAAATATATAACGAATATAAATAACTTAAATACAAGCATCCGATAAATTAAAATCAATTTTGTGTTTACTTTTTACAAAAAAAGCTGGAAAAAGTCGAACGTTCTTTCCAAATTTACATCAAGCTCCTCGGACTTCCCTAAACATACCATTAGATGTGTAAAAGAAAAGCAGTAACCTTCTGTATTTTTTCATTTAATTTTAGTTCATTCAATACTTAATTTCGACATATTTTGTCTTAGTTTACATGGAAAAAATCTAAACCAGTTTATGAAGTGAAGTAACTCACAACACAACAGTCCAAAGAGCATTCTTATTTAAATCTATGATGTCGTTATCAAAGTACACATCAACACGACAGACCACTAACACCGCTAGAATGGCGAGGCTCATACTGGGTCCCTGTACAGATGTGTTACGTGATATTCTAAGAAAAGAAATATCCCCGACTAATCTATCCAAGAAAGTCAAACAATGGACAGACAATCTTAATAACAACAAATTAAGGATCCCTCTATTTCAATCACAAATTGACACCATTTTCCCCTCACCAACGTATCAGTATGGAGGAAACTATTCAGACCTGGATATATCTACTTTGTGCATCATTCTTCGAAATGTCAGTAAAATACCTCCACATCTGAAAGGTTGGGGGGAGATTCCAGACCCCGCCGATAGAAGTGTTGCCGCGAATATCGAACGGATTCGTCTTCTTCGGAACAAATACTATGGTCATATTGCCGACATAGCTCTTTCCGATTCAAACTTTAATGAAGAATGGCGAAACATCTTGGATATCGTTGTTGAATTAGAGGGACATCTAGGAACATCTATTGTCTACCAGGAATCTGTGAAAGAAATCAAAACATGTTCCATGGATCCTGAACTTCAACATAAATACATCAACATGCTTGGGGCTGTTGATGAATTATATTCAGCTGTGTCTAAAGTTTCAGGTAATACCAGATCGAATTTTACTGTACTAAGTTCATATTGAATGCTTTCGTACTCTCTCTGTAAAATATGGCACATGCAGTAGACACAGATTTTTTTTCCAATGTAAAAAAAAAAACAGAAACGTTTACAAATACTATACGTCTCTGTTGAAAGATAAATCTTGGTAAGTACCCTAGATCAAAGGTTGTAAAGACCGACCTTCTTTGTTCATTCTGCAAAGTAAGAAGGTAAGAAAGTAAGATTATTTTTGTTTTATTTATTGAAACTTATAGACATACTTTGCAATCTCACAAACGTTCAGAATGATGTTAAATAATACCTTTTCTTGAGTGTATTCAAATAAAACTTTATTTTCAGAGACGCTGGATGACGTGAAAAAGAAACTTAGTTTGTGCATGGGTAAGTGATTATACTGTTGACTATGTAATCTTTAATTATCTCTACATATAACATATGACTTATATCACTAATATCTACATACTAACCTGTTATGAATATGTTTTTATACTGCCTTGATTTTTTTCAGATCCCAGACTTGAAAAAGAAATAGGTATGTATATGTTCGTATGGTCCTCAGTTTGAGCTTATTGAGACATAAACGTTTATGATAACTCATAGATGAGTTTTGTTTTTCTACACCATTTAGATGTCTATCTATAAACAAGACGAACAAATGAAGGAGGTCTCACAAAATGTGATTTTAGTGTCATTATACAAAAAAATATTGCGTCGCCCGCGTGGCGCAGTGGTAAGAGCGTCTGCTCTAGAGTCGCGGAGTAAGGAGTTGATCCTTACGTCGCGAGTTTGAATCCCACTGTGGGATGTGGAGACCGGTCCTTCGGATGAGACCGTATAAACCGAGGTCCTGTGTCGCAGTAGGTGCTGGCGCGAAAAAGATCCCTCACTCTTCAATGGCCATGAGTGCCGAGTATAGGTAAAATTTGTAGCCCTCCACCGGCAAGTGTTGGCATCTCCATATGAGTGAAAAATTTTCTAGAGGGACGTTAAACAATAGAAAATATAAAATTTTAAAAACAATAACACGTCATCACAATAACATGTGTCACTTGATCAAAATCATAAAAGAAAACGCTGCTGAACACAATGATTGGTTTAACATATCATCTTCCTAAAATAAAAGGGAACAGCTCAGATAAAAAATAATCTATCTAACCATCTTGACACAAATAGAGGGAAACAATTAGGGGTACTGTAAAGGTGGACATTCTTATGGGGTGAAAGCTTGCGATTTCCATGCAAGGTATTCCCTTTGGGGTAAATTTTGTCGAAGTGATATATTTCACAAAATATTTGGTTACTTGTTTAGTAAGGCGCCAACTGTCAAAACTTTTCGCGTGGTGTTTAATGTTGCAACCTTCACTCATCGCAAATATTGCAAAAAATTTCCCTACGCAAAGATTTCCATGTTTACATTAACTTAAATTAGAAAACAAAAACAACAACAACAATAATAAATCAATTTGTATGAGAGATCCATAAAATTTTAATTCAAAGAAATTTTCAGGTTTGTAGGTCATTGAAGAAAAAAAGAATTAATACAAAATTGTAACTTTCTGATAAGAAGTGGATAGAAGTTAAAATAAGCATGATGTAAATATATTGAAAAATAAACTCACAACTGAGATGAATTCAGTAATAACTAAAAAATGTAACACTTTTTATGTATACATCTTCATTACATTAGTCATTTACGTTAGAGAAGGTTAGGCAATACAACCTAAATGTATTTTTGTGTTGTCAAAGGTTTTTGGGGAAAAAAATATAAAATTTAATCTTAATGGCTGATGAAAAGTGTATTTATACGCGATATTCATCATGGTATTTATTGTTTTATTCTTGGCTAAAAGACAGGAATGAGGCCACAATTAGAGAGAAAATGTTCACAACAGTAATTTATAAGTAAATATTATAGGTATTTTTACTCTGGAAATACAAAAGTTACACAAAGGTTCAGTAACCATAAACTAATAATTTTTATGTTGAGTTTTTAAAATAAAAATATCATAATCAGGTTTATTTAATCTCTTGATAGAAACAACAATGGATATGGTCAAAAATCATTATAAGGAAATGGATAAAATCTTTGTCAAAACCCGGGCATTTGACAGAGCAAAGGAACTGTTAGAGAAAAACAGACACGTGGTAATAAAAGGCGTACCCGGAGCCGGTAAAACTACATTAGCCAAGTGGTTGTTGAAAACTGCCATGGATGGGGGGAAACGTCCTCTTCTAGTCTTAAAAATGTCCAAACTCTACGGGCGAATTTCACCGTTTGATAATTTGGCGATATTCATTGATAATGCATTTGGAGAATTCTCGTTTTCTAAAAAAGACTTCAATAAATTTTTAAATATGAAAAACGTCATAGAATCTCTTGTGAAACCTTCCAACAGTGGAATGGGAAATATACTTATTTTGACAGTCAGACACGATATTTATATGGAAATTGTCGCTAAGCAGAAAAGTGCTGCATCACTTTTTTCATCAGTGACTGATTTATCAAGTGGTGAATATGCTTTAGAATCTGAAGAGTTGGTTATGTTTCTCAACAATTATAACCTTCCAGGAAATATAAAAGAAGACTTGAAATTAAGACAGACCGAGTTATATTTACCCTTGGGATTTCCACAATGTTGTAGACTAGCGCGTGAGAATCCTGCTTTCGGAAATGATCTTTCAAATTTTCTCCGTAGTCCTTCAATTTTCCTAAAAGAGTATTTGGAAACCCTGGTAGCAGAAAGAGCTGTTAAAACAGCAGTGCTGATATACATTCTCTTGAAAGGTGGAAGTGTGGATTCCTCTCTGTTCTCTGTTCAGAAAGATTGGAAAATGAAATCCATAGCATTGAAAATGCTTGAACTAAGTCCCCCTTTACTTGGTGAATTCCACGATAGTGTTAAGGTTTTTGAAGGTTTTTTAACAATTTACGATAAAATAAACGATTCCTATTCATTTTCCCATAGCTCAGTACAAGATATTTTATTCCATATTCTGATTGTAACTCTTCCCGAGGAAACAATTCTAAACTGTCATCCTGTCTTGTTTCAAAGATTGACAACAGGTGAGCATCAAAAATGCACAAACGTATTGATTGATGCAGAATTGTTTGCTATCGTTTCTAGTAGGATTATTCAAATTTTGAGAGATGGCTCTCCCGGTGAATTTGAATCCATTTCATTGTTAGATTTATGGAATGACAAAGCATTTTATGAATATGTATTAGCAGATCAAGTCCGTAGCGATAACTTTAAAGAATGTGTTGATTCAGATGGAAACGCATTACTGGTACATTTTGGAAAATCAGGGCATATCGGTTGGGTAAAATATTTGTTTCAAAATAATTGTGATGAAACACAAAAGTACAGATGCCTTAATGCTGCATGCAGAGAAAATCATGTAAATATAGTCCATCCCATTTTATCAATGGGTGTAAGATGTGATTTAAACACTTGTTTTAACGTAGTACAAAGTGGGAATTTAGAGTTATTATTGAAAATATGTAAGACTGTAGATTTGAATCAAACTTGTTTCTCACTTGTTAGGACTAACACTAATCATAGTTTAATCCAGGAGATTTGTTCATCAAGGCAAATTCATTTAGTACAGCCTTTACTTGAAAGATACCCAATGTTGATAGATAACAAATCTACAGATGGCGACAATGTATTGCATTATGCAACACAAATTGGTGAATTCAATCTAAGCAGTTACCTGGTAGATAATTATTCACAATTAATTGACGTCAAAAACAATGACGGATTCACAGCATTACATTTTGCATGTGCTAGTGGAGACGAAAAACTGATTTCTTTTCTGATAGAAAAAGGTTTCAATATTGATGCAATGACAAATGATGGGGAAAGTGTCCTTCACATTGCATGTTTATGTGGTAAGTTTGATGCATGCAACTTCCTTGTCACTAATTATCTTCAATTAATTGACGTCAAAGACAATGACGGGTACACAGTATTACACTCTGCATGTCTGAATGGAGACAGACAATTGATTTCTTTTCTGATAAAAAAAGGTTTGGATATCAATGCACTGACAAATGATGGAGATAGTGCCCTTCATATTGCATGTCGTAATGATAAGTATGATGCGTGTAAATTCCTTGTCACTAATCACCCTCCATTAATTAACGTCAAAAACAATAAAGGGTACACAGTATTACACTCTGCATGCGAAAATGGAGACGGACAATTGATTTCTTTTCTGCTAGAAAACGGTATGGATATACATTCACTGACAAATGATGGGGAAAGTGTTCTTCATATTGCATGTTTATGTGGTAAGTATGATGCATGCAGCTACCTTGTCTCTAATTACCCACATTTAATTGACGTCAAAAACAATAAAGGGTACACAGTATTACACACTGCATGTGTAAATGGAGACAGACAATTGATTTCTTTTCTGCTAGAAAACGGTTTGGAAATCGGTGCACTGACAAATATTGGGGAAAATGTCCTTCATATTACATGTCGTAATGGTAAGTATGATACATCCGAATTCCTTGTCACTAATTATCCACAATTAATTGACGTTAAAGACAATGACGGGAACACAGTATTACACTCTGTATGTGTAAATGGAGACAGACAATTGATTTCTTTTTTGATAAAAAAAGGTTTGGATATCAATGCACTGACAAATGATGGAGATAGTGCCCTTCATATTGCATGCTGTAATGGTAAGTATGATGCATCTGAATTCCTTGTCACTAATTATCCACAATTAATTGACGTCAAAGACAATGACGGGAACACAGTACTACACTCTGCATGTGTAAATGGAGACGGACAATTGATTTCTTTTCTGATAAAAAAAGGTTTGGATATCAATGCACTGACAAATGATGGAGATAGTGCCCTTCATATTGCATGTTGTAATGATAATTATGGTGCATGTGAATTCCTTGTCACTAATCACCCTCGATTAATTAACGTCAAAAACAATAAAGGGTACACAGTATTACACTCTGCATGCGAAAATGGAGACGGACAATTGATTTCTTTTCTGCTAGAAAACGGTTTGGATATTAATGCACAGACAAATGATGGGGAAAGTGTCCTTTATATTGCATGTTTATGTGGTAAGTATGATGCATGCAGCTACCTTGTCTCTAATTACCCACATTTAATTGACGTCAAAAACAATAAAGGGTACACAGTATTACACACTGCATGTGTAAATGGAGACAGACAATTGATTTCTTTTCTGCTAGAAAACGGTTTGGAAATCGGTGCACTGACAAATATTGGGGAAAATGTCCTTCATATTACATGTCGTAATGGTAAGTATGATACATCCGAATTCCTTGTCACTAATTATCCACAATTAATTGACGTCAAAGACAATGACGGGAACACAGTACTACACTCTGCATGTGTAAATGGAGACGGACAATTGATTTCTTTTCTGATAAAAAAAGGTTTGGATATCAATGCACTGACAAATGATGGAGATAGTGCCCTTCATATTGCATGTTGTAATGATAATTATGGTGCATGTGAATTCCTTGTCACTAATCATCCTCAATTAATTAACGTCAAAAACAATAAAGGGTACACAGTATTACACTCTGCATGTGAAAGTGGAGACAGAAAATTGATTTCTTTTTTGATAGAAAAAGGTTTGGATATAAATGCACAGACAAATGATGGGAAAAGTGTCCTGCATATTGCATGTTTTAATGGCGATATTGATTTATGTAAATTAATTGTACATAATAACCCACAGTTACTTCAGTCAAAAGACTATTCCAGTGTTACTGTGTTACATGCTGCAGCACGTAGTGGAAATCTAGAACTATTTAAGTATTTTGTTAGTGAAGGTTTGAATGTAGATTGTATGACAAATGATGGTAGATCAGTTGTTGATTTCACCGAAAGTAGCAATATCTGTTTAAATGAATATTTGGAGACACATTACCCTCTTTTATTCCGTCGAAAAAAAAGACAGCAAAATCAGGGCTTTGATAAAACGAAACGTCTTAAATTATAGTCGCTTTAATCATTCTAGATTATTCTTTGAAATCGATTCAAATTCATTTCTGTTTTAATTACAGGTAGACCGTTTAATCTATGTTTCTATAACATGGATTGCTAATAGACATTAATTATTTCAGTTATCTTTTTATTTTCAGTATATGACAGACTGAACTTTGTGTAAATAATTTATCAATGATGTCATTTCTTTGTTACAAGTTACAATTCATTTTCATGCTATTCTGCACGAGATTTTCATAATATATGTATGTTTGATTTTTATACAGTGTATGTACATTAATATTCTTTTGTTCTGATGAATTGTGTTTTTATTTTTTGCCTACCTCTTCGTATTCTTAGTTTTATTAACAATAAGACATGTATGTTACATTAAGCTGTGTTTTTGAGATAAAAATGTTTTGAGCATGCATGTTTAATGTTACCAAAAATTAAATTTTAGTAATTTTAATTTGATTATTAAAGATAATTAAATAAATATATCGACACAATTGCTTTTGATTTTTTTTCTCTCTCCCCGATTGCAAAAAATCTTATTTATGTGGCAAGGTCTAAAATATTAATAATTAACATCTTATACAAAGTCCTCTTTAGTGTCCTTGCTCTTCCTCCAACCACTGTCCACTTGAATATGTCATTTCTGGTGAAGTTAATAGTTGAAAATGACGACTCAAAACAATTGTTTTAACAGGTATTAAGTACTATTCCACGTAAGAATCAGGCAGGGGGCGGCACATGAAGGTTTCAAATTTTTTTTTTAAAACTTTGCATGCTGGTAGAGTATGCTTAGTAACTTCCTAAAATAAAATATTTTTTTTAATCAAATCAGTGTCTGGTTTCCATGGCAACAGAAACACTGTTTGCAGCATATTATGGCTGAAATTTCCTCTAAAAATCTGCAAAATTGCCAATATTCAAGTTTATATAAAATGAAAATCAGAAAAGAAATCACAATTATATTTATTGCTCATTTAAATACAGCTCAACTAGTTACTTGTCACAATAAATCAAAATACTTTTACGTCCAGTAAGATGTTTTAATTTTAAACTGAAAAGGGGAGATAATCCAAATTTGCAAAAACTTGAAAATATCCATTTTTTGAGGATTTTCATCTATTAAAAATATAAAAACCCAACAGCCAAATCAAAAGACTGTGCTAATTTCAAAGACTGTGCTAATAAAAGTATAAAAACATTTTTGTGCAAATTATTATTAATATCCAAAAATTATGGATGACTTTCATTCAAAAAAGAGCAATTTCACTATTTTTGTCAAAGTTCAGTATATGCCGTAGATGTAAACAAGTAAAATGAATACAACATTTCTAAACAATTTCTTTTTGTTTTTATCTTCAACTCAAAATACAACAACACAAGTAACTTTTCACAAGTAATCAAAATATTTCCATGTCCACTAAAACAATAATCCAAATTTGCAAAAACATGAAAATACCGATTTTTTTTTTTTTTTTTTTTTTTTTTTTTTTTTTTAAGGATTTTCAGCTTTTAAAAAAAAAATATAAGAACCAAACATCCAACTCAAAAGGCTATGCTATTTTCATAAACATCATACCCTATGGTTTATAAAAGAATAAAATATTTTTGTGTAAATTATTATTAATATCTGAAAAATATGGATAAGTTTCAAACAAAAACAAAAAAAGAGCAATTTCACTATTTTTGTCAAAGTCCAGAATATACCGTAGATGCGTGCATGTAAAATAAATAAGACATTTCAAAACAATTTTCTTAATTTACAATTTCAAATACAGCACAACTATTTGCTTTTTACAATTAATCAATATAATATTTTGATATCCAGTGTTCTAATTTATAACATATAGAATTTACAAATTATGTTCTAATTTAACTGAAAAGGGGAGATGATCCAAATGTGCTAAAACCTGAAAACATCAATTATCTCAGGCTGTTTTTGAGGTCAGAGAATATTGTACTCTTCAGGTAAATAACTCACTGAACTGACATAAAAAAACCAGTCTTAATTGTATAATATACAACTTTATTTTTATTTATACACAGATAATTATTTTAAGTTGTCCTTTTTGTTATACATTTCCATCCACACCAAAAACACAATAACTAGTAAATATTCACGATTTGAGTGACATTTTTCACACATGATCCTATTTTTACCAAGTCATCTGCTTGTTTGCCATTCAAATTGATCTTATACCCAAATGATTTCATATTCAAAAAATCTAAACATAGGTAAATTCATGAAATATAAATCTTTCAGTTTTAAACCTTGGTATTGGGCAATCATGTTACACAGAATATCACAAGTCAACCCAGCTTTTCTTTTGTAGTCAACGACTGCCCTTTGTTTAGTAGTTTCTTAAACTGAAACATAAACATGATAAAACTGTAATCTTAAGTGCTTACAGATTCATGGAAGATGAAAGTCACAGCCTCATTAATTTTATCCAAAGTGATGAACTCTTTCTCTGAACTCCAGTCTTTGTTTTGTGATAGCTGCAATGATTTCATTTCCTGAGATTTCTGAAATGATAAGTTAATCAATTATCACCAAAGAATTGATATAAAGTTATAAAAGGTTCAATCTAAATACACATGCAATTTCTTCAATCAATATTGAAGTTCAAAATAGTCAGTATTCATTTTATTATGGGACTGATATTCAGCTTGCAAAGCTTTGTCACATCTGAATCAAATGATGAAACCTGTTTGACAGCAAATATACATTTAAACATACATAAAAAACAGATCTGCATGACCAAGTAATGCTTTTCTCTACAAATAAGTACTTCAGTACAATATTTGAAAACAAATCATTAAAAAACTGCTTGAGTTATCGTTTCATAGCTAAGGTGTCAATGGATATGTATTTGAATGAGCACACAGACAAACAGACTAAGCGATGTGACCCCAAAATGCATAAGTGTTTTTCTCTTACAATAAAGAGCTTCTGTATAAAATTTTAAAAATATTATGTTAAAAACTGAGTTATTGCAGCACAACAAAAGTGTCAATGAATATACTTTTGGACATACATACAGCTAGACAGACAAAGTAAAATAACCCTCAAATGTGTTTTTGTTTTCCTACAGTAAAGAGATTCTGTACAAATCTGAAGGCATAATGTTGAATCTTACAACAACAAAAGTGATGACAAACTGACAGATGGATGTACAATGTGATTTCTACGATGCTCTCTCCTTTTTAATTCCCTTCACATATGCCATTCTTGGTGCCCAGTTTATTTAAATTGGTGCAGATATTCTGGAGAATATTAAGTAAATAAGGAATGTGAAAAGCTTACAGGGAGATAGGAAGCTGGATGGACAATGAATAACAAGTGATTTGATAAGCATGAGCTTTCAGCTCAGTTGAGCAAAATTCTGTTGGCTACTGGGAAAAAGATTTTTCAGACTTCACCCTATTTTCTTCCCCTTTGAATAGCTCAAGGTCAAAGTAAAGGTTGAGGTAAAAAATGATGATGAAGTTGGATGGCTTACATCAATTTTGTATCAGTACTGGAAGTTCGATTAAAAATGTCTTGAACACATTGAATGGTTTTGTTGAAACTTAAAATAAATTTAAGAAAAGTGAAGTCAAGGTCAAAGGTAAGGAAAGAGCAATGTAAATAAAAATATTGATGAGGTTGAATAGCTCTCACCAATATGCATCAGCATTTAAGCTTTCGTAAAAATATCTTGAATAGTTTCCAAGAATCCGAGCTAAACACTAATTAAAGGGATGTGAAGTTAAGGTCAAGGTATAAATATGTTGATGCAGTTGAACTGAATACATCTATATGTTTCAGCGTATGAAGTTTGATAAAAATATCTTAAATGGTTTCTTTCAAACTGAACTAAACACTTATTTTAGAAGTGAGGTCAATGTCAAAGCAAAGGTCAAGGTCAAAAAAATGTTGATGCAGTTGAAAAGCTTTTATCAATAATTCAATATATATGCATCAGCATGTAAATTTTTATAAAAATATCTTGAATAGTTTCCTTCAAACTGAGCTAAACATAAACTGTAATGGAAGACAGACTGAAGGATGGAAGATGGACATGACAAACACTATATGCTATATCTTAGGCCATATTCATGGTGGGGCATAAAACAGGGTACATGTAAAAACAAAAATTTAATACATCAATTTAACAACCCTGATTCTAATGAATAAGTTATACAAAACACAGCAGACTTTTTCAAAGAGACTAGCTTGATAAAAACCTTAGTTATGTCAGTGAAATGTAAGTCAGCAATAACATGTTCAGACTACTGGTAGTAGAATTTTCAGTATACATGTATATCTATTTATATTCTATCATTGATTATTGTAATTTAAAAAAATAAATTAACAGCATTTCTTCTGAACAAAATATCTTTATCATGTTTAATTGTTTACAACCTGTTATAATTTTATATCACAGCTACATGTATTTTTTTCTGTCCATGCTTAGGTATGGTATTTATTAGTCATTTTCACGGGCCATTGATCTTTAAATGGCTAAAGAACACAAAACATTGTGGCTGGTGGTGATGGTGTGTGTTGGGGGGGGGGGGGGTCTAGTTAAATGTGATGCTGGCTGGCCAAATTTTGACATCAGTGCTGATGAAAAATTATGCTGTGTTGTTATTTTATTTACATATTTGTTTTTTTTTAACCAATTATATCCTGAATGTTCATGCTAATGTACAAATGACACATATACTGTATGAGTATAATTAAAACAGAGGGCCTTATATTTTAGCAGCTTTGGTGTGGACAGTTTAAGCACATGTGCAGTGTCTCTGCATACAATACAGACTGACCCTTACCACGGAAATGTTTTGACATCTTCTACTTCGAGTCAACTAAGGCAATGACTATGAGATACAAACTCTTCTGTTTCAGTCACTTGGTTATACATTGCATACGCCTGAAATTTTAAAAAGAAATGTTTAAGACACTAAATTTAAAAAAAAACCCTATAAAATTTGTTACTTTTAACATATTTAATAAATGATATATGCTTCTTCATTTTCATACTAGATTACCATAACTTATTAAAATGAACTGCATGTACAAACACTAAAAAATAATCCCCTCAAATACCTTTAATCTGGCTAAGTTTTACAATGATTGTACATAAGAACGATTACTGAGCTTATGATGTCACATTTCAAATTACACATTGATCTGGCCACCCCAATAAATATAATTTACTGTTTAACAGATAATTAAACTGTAATCAATAATCATTTATAACTGTCA